ATGTGGCAGACGCCCCCCCCTTTTTTGCTAGCAGCCACTCCCCAGCAGAGCCAGGGAGACTTCATTTCTCTCATCCCATCCATCTGCCTTCCTTTTTCCCTGGCTTTCCCACCCTCCGCCATCCCCAGCAGCCCGTTGTGACCCTGAGCTCCTCAGGGTGGCAAGCACGGAGGTGCCGCTGCAGAGAGGCTGCAGGCAGGTGATGGAGCCCATGGTGCAGAGCTTTGCTCTGTGAGGACAGGAGCAGCTCCGATGTGGCCGTCCCTGTGAGTCCTGTCCCCGTGGAAAGCCCAGGGGTAGTGCAAGAGCGAGGGCTACCTGGCTAACCCTGCTCCTGTTATCTGTGCTAAGAGGAGAAGAGGAGTACAAGGGACCGAAGGGCCCAAGGGCACAAAGTCTAGAAGGTCTAATTCCTTTTGTGTGTAGATGGGAGGAAATCCCCCTCTCCAGGAGCTCATTTGCATGGATTTTTCTGGAGAAAAAGCTGGTTGTGACCTAGAGGGTGTCCCAGGTTGTCCAAGGAGATATGGGTTGGAGCTGAGAAATGTTAACGCAAGGGGCCAGGACCAGTTTCTAGGAATGTGAAGGAGACTCAGATAGTCTGCTCCCTCATGTCCTTGTCCTCCATACAAAACCTCTTGCTCATCAAGACTGAGTAGAAAGCAATTTTTCTTCCTGGCCTGGGTTTGGGTTGTGGATTTAGAGATCCTTTACAGCTTCACAGTGAGCAAATGGGTTTGGTATTTCCTGCTCAAATGTTACACAAAAAACCCCAAAAAATGTAAAATAGAAAAATCCAGCTGACTGCAGTACAGACAGTTCCCAGCTCTTCCCTGGATGCTTAGTCAGGTTCAGATGGGCAAACTGGGTATCTGTCCTCCCCTCTGCTTGCCTTGGCTTCCAAAGGGCTAGACCCTGGCACGCGTCCCCCAGCCTGGAGGACCGACTGGAGGCCATTCGGTGTGTCCTTTAGCCGCAGTTTTGGCTTCACTGCTCCCCCACCCTGTCCCTCCGCCCCGCATGTCTGCACTGGACTCCCTGTGCGGTTGCTTGGCTGGGCTGCAAACCTTGAACTGATTCCTCTCAGCCGGTTTAGGCTGTCAGCAGGCCTGGGGTTTTGACGGTAAATCCGTGGGCGCCTTACCAATGCAGACCGCAAGGCAGCCTGGAGAGAAATGGGCTCCAGACCAGGGATGCAGAGGGGGGACTCTCCCACCCCAAAACCCTTCCTCCCCACGGCTTGGCAAGCTTAGCTCAGCCCCTGGAGACTTGGTGCCATCCTTTGGCAATCTCGGCTCCCTGTCTGGCTGCCTCGTCCCTCCTTCTGGCTGCTCTTGGCCCATTTCCCTCACTGCATTGCAATGAGTCATCTTTGCTGAGCTCACCCGCTGGTGCTGCGGGGTGGGGGGGGACTGGCAGGCCTGGCCACCCACCGGCGCGGAGGGAGGGTCCCTCACCTGGCACCGCGCCGGCTGCAAGCCGCGGCGGTCTGGCCATGATGTGCAGGCCCAGGGACACTCCCTGGTTTCTCCTCCCCATCCCTCGGCCGCGGGGCAGCGGGAGGGGAGGGCTGCAGGCACAAACCTCGCTGCAGGAGGCTGCAGGTCTGTGCCGTGCTAATTTAATGACTGGTGTGTGGGATCCAGACAGGGAAAAGACAGCATGGCTGGCATTGCCTGAGGATATGAAAAGCTGATGGGAGCCAGACACTGATTGCCCTGTTCCCTAGCTCCTTGGCAGGGCCAGCCTGTCTCTGTTCAGCAGATCAGATACCATGACGAGGAGCAGGCTATGCACCAGCGTTTGTGCGGGAAGACGCTATCTGCCCATCCTTGCCATGTGTGTCTGTTCATGCGTGACTGTGCACTCACATCTGCGCACCGGGGAGATGGTCCCGGCTAACTGCCTCCCTCTCTCCCTGCCCAGGCTCCCCTCTCACCGACAGCTGCCTGCGGGCACCTCGGCGGAGAGATGAACCCCACCGTTGGCATCGCTGTCTTCCTGACAGGTATGGCCAGCAGGCGACAGATCCCCTCCCTGCCATCTAGCGACCTCAAGCCTGACCAGCCAGACACAGGCAGCAGCTCTCAGAGCCAGGGGGAGCAGGGCTCTGGTGTCCCCCATGCAGTGTGGACACCAGCGACCTGCACACATGGGTCCAGGACCTGCAAATGGAGCATGCTGGTGTGGGGAGGGCTCGGGGCATGAGGTTTCTGGGGAAGGGGCAGCCTGGCTCAGCTCTCTCCAGGGTGTTATTCAGCAACTAGGAGGGCTGGGAGGGTGCATGGGTATCCCCAGTGCTCATCACTCCCCGTCTGACCCCCGCTTGCCTCTCCAAGTCCTGCAGGCCACCCACTGCCAGATGATCAAGGACTTGAGTGCCTGCCTGTTGGGGCAGAGCCTGCGGGTGGACTGCCGTTATGAGAACAAGACCAGCAATCCCCTGACCTACGAGTTCAGCATCACCAAGGACAACAGGAAGCACGTCATCCACAGCACCATAAGCGTCTCCGAGAACGCCTACCGGAACCGGGCCAACGTCACCATGCACAAGAACCTGGTGTGCCTCTACCTGCAGAGCTTCACCACCAGCGACGAGGGTGTCTACATGTGCGAGCTGAAGGCCACCAACGACTACACCGGCAACCAGATAAAGAACATCACTGTCATCAAAGGTGAGTTTGGCAGTGGTGCTTGTCCTCCGGTTCCCGTTCAGCCCCTCCTTCCCACCTGCCCCTTAGGTAGGCAAGGGCAGCAATGAAATCCATGACCCTGTATGATGTCCCCAAATCCTTCTGGAGCCCTGCCAATGTTTCCAAGCCTTACGCACCCATCTTCAGGAGAGCAGAGCAGTCAGCCCCACAGATGGCCTCGCTCTGCCCCATTTCAATGTGCTAAGTCCCCCTCTCCTGGGCCCCAGCCCCAGCACTCGGTGCCAGACAGGCCAAACCAGGCAGCAAACCGGGTGGCCTTTCATAGGTGATGCTTCATAGTCAGTGCCACTAGCCAGGGCCAGGTACACTGGGGAAGGACACAAGAGGCACGTGGTCTCCAGTGGGAATGCAGAGGGGACTTTCCATACTTATTTTCCCCAGGAACAGTCCTCCAGTTGCAAAGCCCCTTGTCTCACCTGATGCCTGTCCCCTTGTCAACATGGTCAGGCAGAGGCAGGGCTTGATGTTTCCCAGGGGTCTTCATGCCCCCCAAAGCTTTCCATAGGCACAAGGTGGGAGGGGAAACTGAGGGCAGTGGGCCAGGATAGGACTTGCTGCATGTCTGCAGCAGAGACCAGGCAAGAAGCTGAGCGCCAGCATCCTTTGAAACATCCAGCCTGATGCCTGTTGCAGGAGGATCTCATTGCACCTCCTCTCTCCCTCCCCGTTTCCCCTCCTCACAGACAAACTGGAGAAATGCGCCGGCTTCAGCCTCTTGATCCAGAACACTTCGTGGCTCCTGCTGCCTCCCCCTTCCCCTGCCTCTCCTGCAAGCCGTGGACTTCGTGTCCCTGTGAAAGGAAAAGCACGCACACTCGCACACACACATACACACAGCCCCCCCCCCCAGCAAACCCGCTCCCCCCGACTCCTGCTGGAACGTGGCCCTTGGAAAGAGAAGCTGAACGATTTGAAACGAATGCAATCTCTATGCTATCTCTATATAGCCGTATATGTAACGCTAACCCCTGTCCTGTGCTGAGACCTGCCATCACACGCACCCACGCCCCCGGCACTGCCCCGCGCCCAAGCATGGTGGCTCTGCTAGGCAGCGCTTGCTTCTCCCATCGCACCTCCCCGTTCGGCAGGCCGGCTGGTGTGCTCACGCTGGGGGAGCCAGCCCAGCAGAGCCAGCTTCTCCCATCCCTTTAACTGCCATTTTTTACCTGTTTCCAACTGGGGAAAGACAGCTGGACTAACAGGTAAGAGAGAGAGAGGACGTGAGGGTGTGCAGAGGGGTGTCCGGGCTGGGCGCAGTGACCGCAGCCCCCGGAGGAGCCGGGGCTGCTGGGGCTCCCGACCTGCCCTGGCCACTAGCGAAGTGACTGGGTGATTTCTCAGCCTGCTGCCTCAGCCCCGAGTCACCCCCAGGTGCCAGGGGAAAGCTGAGGCTGGGAGAGGGCAGCAGGGGAGTCCTGCCTCCGAGCCAGCAGGGAAAGGAGAAAGGGTGCAGGGGAAGGGTGCCGCGGCCGGCAGGAGGGAGGGAAGCAGCTCTGGAAGAGCTGCACCAAAGGCAGCTGCCTCCTCAGGGCTCTTTTGGGGCCCTGGGAGGGGTCTCACGGCACACTTGCTTTGGAGCTGAGTTTTTCCTAACCTGTTTCTTTTTCTACTGAGCTGGAAGTGAGGCCTCCAGGCATCATCTGGTACTATGGGGCTGTCCGAGCCCAAGACATCCACCATTTGCTCTCCCTGGGGACCAGTCCTTAGCTGTGACGAGAGAATTGCTGCCAGCACCAGCTTGCAGTGGAGGCGAGCCCCCAGGTCTCCGCGGGGAGCTGGTCCTCTACCCTTCTCTGCACGTCTCCCCATCCTGCCTGAGGGGACCGTAGGAAACGGCTGAAGGTCCTAATCCCTCCTCCGTGCACACATCCCCGGCCTGGCCCCGGGCCCCCTCAGGGGAGGCTCAGCAGCCTTCCTCCAGGGCAGTCTTCCTCCGGGGTCCAGCCACGCCAGGCGCTGCGAGAAGCCCACCTGCCCCCTCCCTTCTCCGCCCCCCGCTCCCTCCCTCTCCTTGGGCATTTCCCCTGTGCCCACTGCAAAGCAGAAAAGGGCTTAAGGGCAGCCCAGCTTTTGGCCACCGCTTGAGCGAGGCCAGGACGTTCCCGAGAGCGGGGCAGGGAGAGGAGAGCAGCCCCGGGCCCGGCGATGCGGAGGGACAGCGCGGTGGCACCCTCGCGCAGCAGAGGGACGGGTCCCGGGGCAGAGGGAGGTGCGGGCGCCCGGAGCTGGGGTCGGGCAGCGTGAGCCCCGGCCCCCGGCCACCTTTCCCTGCGGCCCAGGCCACGCCGACATAGCAG